ACACAAGCATAGGGTTGGAGATCCGAATCATTCTGTCCAAAGTTAAATTCATACTACTGTAAACAATACCAGAGTACGTATTGTCAAATTTAGAATTATTAATTTTATAAGAGTTGATTAACATCTGATTTGTCATCATGGAAGATTGAATAGTAAAACGTTTCAGATTACCGAAGATGATAATATTATTCGAAGATGATCTCTGTAACAAATATACAATCGCAAAAATAAATTTTATTTTCTCAATATTCTGTGTATTTTTATTTATTGAATTATCATTTATTGAATTATGTATAATAGTGTGGAAACATTCAAAGCGAGAGAGTTTAGCTAAATATTTTTCTTGTCCTTAATCACATAAGATTTTATTCTCTCAAATGTTGTTTGATAATTATCATCTATCAAAATATAACTCACCGAAAGAAATCCATCATTAGATCCTGGTTTCCAATTCATTTTACTGATGATACCCGAATGATAAGCTACTCGCTGTTCGCATCTGGAATAATTCTTCGTTTTTGTAATAACGAAATGTTGAGCATCTTTGTGAAGATGTGGCAAAGATATTGACAAATTATCTTCCTTCCCTATCGAAATACTGTAAAGAACCTCGCATTTACCGCCAACGGAATCCTCCATGACTTTAAATTCACTAAAAGACTGATTGTCGTTGGGCACCATAGTGCTCCTACTTGCTATCGCATTCTCACCTTCTGTGTCAATCTGCAGCTGACTTACAATACTTTTTAGTAAATTCACCTCCCAAGTAGGAACATCCTGATCAATTAACAAATCTCGGATCAGTCCCCGTTTAAGTTTCATCTCGAAGGGCTTTTTCGATAAAGAAAGCTTGCGAAACTCAACGTTGGGGAATTCTTCCGAAATATCTGACAATATTTCATTCACAGAAGCATACTGCATCTCGGACAGTATAGCCTGCGACGTATCGAATGATTTCACTTGAATGATGAGTTTACCTCTCATAAAAATTCCGGAATATTGCTCAGCTAACCCGTTTAAACCCGTCAATGTCCGACTTTTTATAAGATAATGATATTCGTTTCCGGTTTCCCATGCATGATTGTGATCGGCTATGACTGCTCCAACTATCGAAAGAAAGCGTCATTACTTTTTCAAGTATGTTTTAACAAATAAAGTATGTATAGTTTATGTAAAAAAATTAATTTACAGAATTTTACTATGCTGCTTATTTTTTTAATCGTATGTTTTTCAAACATTGAATAAGTAAAATTTTTTCTTTCAATTTTCTTTTAAGTTAATTTTGATGACTTATAAAATGAAGCTTTTAAAATAACTAATTATAGTTAAAGTTAACTTATAAATTAATTAATTTAAAAATTATGAACTTCTTAATTTGATTACTTTTAATTAATTAATTTGTTACTATATCTTGATATTTTTATAAAAGTTTGGATTTTTTTATACGTTATCTATTTTATCTTAATGTATAAATTATCTATATTCTAATAAATTTTGTACAATTTAATATATTATTAATTTTTAAATTAACAATGATAAATGGCCCCTCCTCAATACAATAACACTAATAAATAAGTAATGAACAATAGGACTCAATGTGGAGAAATCAATGTGCAAATAAAATAATTATTTTCTTAACAACATGAATATTAAGTTGCAATAATTTATTTAACATTAAATTTAACAAAAAATATTTAACATTTCGGTTTTAAATTTTTGTAATAATCACTTTACTATGTTATACAGAAAATTTTTTTAAATAAGCATTTAAAGATAAAAAATGACGTCATCGTACAATTTTCGTAGAAACTAATGTTATTTGTTGACATCTACTTACTGATTAAGAGAAAAACCAAGTACATCCACATGATATGATGCGAATAGTGTCAAATGCAAAATGAAAGCTCCTTCTTCTCAATCGGATTTATATACGCTCCATATGCTATATCAGCTTGACTCGCACGGAATGATGCTCATTGATTTAGATTTCAACTTGAACTTAAAACTATATTGTTCCGACGCACATGATAAATTATTTTAACCTTGTACATACTAGAATTGCACTTGGTACATCCTGATAGTACAATCGAGTGTGATTGAGAGTAATTCGCCATAATTGTGACATACTTGGAAAATTGAAGACAAAATCGTCACATATATTATACTTTCAAACAGAACAATGACTTTATCCACCAACATGATTTATTTTACCGATTATTTAATGAAGGTTCACATTTATTAATAAATTAGTGTCTCCATCAGATATCTGACCGAATTAATCGAATACTATATTATATGTTAACAATATTATATTGTATATAGAAGGTGTCCTAAAATTTATATAATTCTTTACACCTTTTTACGAAAAATTAAGACGAAACTAGTCTGTATTACAAATTATACTTAATTTGAAAATTTGAGCGATTTTTCATATGTTTCATCGATTTCTCATAATCATAACACTTACATAAAATTTATTATCTTTCGCTGAATGTGTTTTCACAATATGCTTCATATGTCCGTTATTTTATCAATAATAAGTTTGCGCGAAAGTTTATAATCAAGTCATTGGTAACTTTTAGTATGTGTTCAAAGTTTCTGTCGTTTCAAAGAATATTTATATAATGATCATTGCTATTTTACGTTTTATATCATCTGGCTATATTTTTCTAATAAATCACAATCTATTATTAAAAACAAAACAAAATTTTGTCTCTCTATGTGTCAGCTTTTTAAAAAGAGAGAATGAAAAAAAATTATTCAATATTAAAAAGATCTTGTTAATAAAAATATAAATATTTTATGCTGTCCACGGAAAGAAATACACAGTCCACACATTTTATGATCAGATTGGAGGACTCGAGCGTTATTTAATTCCACATGCATTATTATATATATTGTCGTATTGGCTGCTCAAGGATATGACAATAATGCATGCGGAAGTAAATAACGCACTCGAGTCCTTTAATCTGATCATAAAATGTGTGGATCGTAGTTCTTTTTTCCATGGACGTGTATAATAAATATCATCTGCAGTATAATTATATAAAATTAACATGTAATTATTATTCTAATTATTGTCATCTATTTTTTCAAATCTTCTATTACGACATAAAAAAAATCTACACGGAAAGGACAGTTTTACTAAAATATTAAAAAATTATTATTAGATACACACACATATATCTCTCTGAAAATAATTTTGTTGGACCATTAAAATAATTATGTAAGACGTTCAAACTAATGACTAGGATGTCAAAATATTTTGCAGCATTGTTCATCATACTTGAGATTCCTAAAATTATTTTGATAATCCAACAAAGTTATTTTTGAATCCGTAGATAACTAAATTTTTAAATATTTCAACAAAATCATTCTTTCCATGTTAATACGAACTCATTTATTAAGGAAAATCATTTTCCTCTTTATCATCATGTATCTATAGCAATATTCCACCTATACTATATATAGAATTTCCGTTTGTAATCTGTTTAATTCAGTGCATAGTGTTTGCATTTTCAGCGTGTTGAAAATACAATGAGAGAAGCGAATTAGTCTTCAATGAACTCATCGAATCACAATAAATTGCAAGTTTTATTACACAAACTCAGTATAAAATATATGAATATTTACATTACATGCACAACTTCTTTTATTCCTGTATTAGATAAGAGATTGAAATTGGATTGAGATTGAATTTAATTAATCAGAAGAAAGAAAGCTGATATATCATTGAACTTTACTTTTGACTGATCAAATTCAATTTCAACTTTAATCTCAATTTCTAGTCTGATACTTATGAATGCGAATGCACTGCAAACTCGCATGTAGACCGCATACCGCGCGAAGCAAGTAACTTTATAACTACGATTGCTGCGATACAGCATTATGATGCCACTATTAGCGACTGACTCTGGAGCCGCGGGAGGATGAGGTTTTGTACTCTAGGTTTTCTAGAACGTTCGGAAGCTTTTTGATATGAACTTAAAATGCGGAGCACCTTGATTGAGATAATAAACAATTGGAATAAAAGGGAAAAGCGATAATCAAAAATCATTTGTCATCGTGGCTGCCTTTTGTTATACGCATAATCAGCATGGTGTCTTATTTTATTCTTGTTTAATATTCTGAATCATGAGGAAATGATACCTCATGCACATCATGCAATGGAATGCAGTCTTTATTTCATTATTATTGTTATCTTAATTGTCTCTTATCTACACTCACCTGCAAAAAGACGGGTCTCTTTTTAGCACAAATTTTTAATATTTATTAATAATGGTAATTTAATGAAAAATCATTATATTGGAAATTAAAGCTCAAGTTATATATATAAAGTTTGAACATTTCGCTTAATAAACAGGGAAATCCAAATTGAATTACAGAAAATGTTTTACAAAACATCGATGTTGTTGAAGATCTTAAAAAATAGAAAAACATTTTTTTTTCTTTAACTATTATATTATTATATTCGTCATTTTGTAAAGCATTTTCTCTCTTTTGATTTTCTTGATTATTAACAGGAATGTTTAAGCTTTAATTTAAGTTTTCATTCACCGCAATACGATGATTTTTCATTCAGTTACTGTTATTGAAAAATATAAAAAATTTATACAAAAATTTACCAGCTCATTTTTTTATGAATACGATTTTTTTATGAATATGTTTTGCTAGAAAGAAATAAAAATTTAACGGTTACTTTTCTGACAAAAAGGATAATTATTGTATAAAAAACATATAATGAAAATAATTAATTAATACTGATGTTAAATAAATTGTGTTGATTTCGAACAGTTTGGATATGCGGAAAAGAATATACCACGAATAATTATGTTGAAAAGCTTCAACTTTATTATTGCTTACATTACTGCATTATTAAACAACACTGTTAAATCTATAGTGTCAAGTTTAACCTAATGTGAGTTAAATTTGATAGATTTAATAGTGCATTTCTAAAAAAAGAAAAAATAAAAAAGAGGTCGTTTTAAGTATGCATGGTCGGTATATCATTTTGGTATTGCCAGATTACGCGTTGCAAACGATAGGAACGTGGAAAGTACGCGACCTACTGAAAGGCTTTCGGGTAAAATCTGGATTAGCGCCTTGCTCGATCCTGCGTTTTATTAATAAAGATTCCTCGTTCCTTGGTTGACAATAAAGATTAAATTCCTTCATTTCCTTTTTTCCCGAAGACTTGGTACCCTCACGGCACATTGGTACAGGTTTGGTCGTGAAACAGATCTCTTCATCTTCTAGAACAACTTTTGTGCGGTAGACAAGATTGTTATCGTCTAGTGAATTTCTCTCGAAATTGGATCTTTTACTATCGTAATTGAAGTTATGTTTTCCCTTGAGATTATTGTTATGATAGCCCCAGAGTTCACTATGTGTCGGCAATCTTCCCGCTTCTATATCATTAATAACGTTGTTCCGATGAATTATTGGCAACTCACGACACTGAGTGAATTCAGCTTTTCGTTTGTTCTCCAGAATGTCTTCCTGACAACCCTCATGAGTCAAGGCATACGTAGCGGTGAATACTTCGGGCACCTTCATAACACAATTTTGAGGAGTGAGGAAATCGGTGCTGGGATCGGAGTCGTAATTGCCACAGAGACCGCGTAGAGCATTGCGATATCTGTTGGATACCTGATAACAAATTTATTTTAATTGTTGTTTTCTATATTATTGAGATCGACTTATTATTAATGGCTGCGTTCGGAAACATCGCTCGATGGTTAACATTAAATTTTAAACCAGGACAGATGATGATTCCGAGGCATCGGAGACATTTAAGCGACATTTTCGAATACAGCCATTACCAGTTTGTTTCACATTTTTACTCACCAATAATTGAATACGTTCTCCGTCGAACAGTATTTTGATATCAGATTTGCTCGAAATCATTTCGATCGAACCATCGGGTAGTTTATTGAGTTCGAGTAATGTTTCACCATCTTCTCTTAGTTGATAATCTTTATACTGTGATAATTGAATGGGAGTGCCGTTGACTTGAATTTTAATATTAGCATCTATTTTCTCTAATTCAATTACATGCTCGTTCACCAATAGAATAACTATCTTGGTACCATCGGTATGATTTCTAACTAAGGCCATAAAATTCACTTCTGTTGTATTCTTTTGAGTATCAGGATCCTTTTGTGAATAAGTGGTCATTAGTACGTGTTTACAAGTCCCCAGTTTCACAGGATAAAGCAGCTTATCAAAAGTAAGGACCATGTCTTTATCCATAGTACACGAAGCTGTAAAAAAATTCAAATGTTTTATACGTTATGAAATTTTTATGTAATTTACATTTTGCAAATCGCGATCTTTATCAAATAAAATATAAATGCGTCATGATAACAATAATAGAACAATGAATAATTAATTTATTTAGAATAAATGAAACTCATGGAATAATTGAAAAATGTTCTAAAATAAATAGAGTATCAAATTATTAACTTTTCTGCGTTATTATTTAAGCATTAACTTCTCAATTATTTCTCAATTAACATAATATATCACATGACTCAATATATTAAATTACTTCAACTTTCAATATTTAAAGAATAGTAGTTATATATTTTATAAAATCTCTTTAAAAGATCTTTTATAAAATTTTATGACTTACCTCTTCTTTCTTTTCTTTGATGTATGATATATTCCTTTAATAGTTCTTGCATTTCGAAATCTCTTTGCTCCATGTTAGGAAGAGTAACATCTACTTGCGAAGAATCTAAGGAAGCCGGCGGAACTATTTCCATAGGTGACAAAGTCATTTTTATATTGAAGACATCTCTATCAGAGTCTTTCGAGTCTGTTACTTCTATTTGTGAGTGAGGGAAGAGATGCGACAAAAAGTTGGAAATCTTGTGAATAACTTCTTTCATATAGTCAGTTATTGAACCTCTACCTGAAATGTCCACTTGATTCTTCACTCGGGCAAGTTCAGTGGCCTGCTGGCAAGCATGCAGTGCTTTATGTCCCCTCTCAATTTCTTCCCAACATTGTTTAACTATTTTGGAGGACTCTAACATATCCTCTATTCGGCTGCTTCGCGATATGCTCGCATCGATGACAATTTTGTTTCCTTTGCTACAACTCTCTCCATATTGCAGTTCAGCTTTGACCTTATCTCTCGGCGCATGTTTCTTCATATATTCAAAATTTAGGGGAGTATCTGGTGAATATTGTATTTCATGCGTATAGCAAACTTCGGTTATTGGTTTTTCCTTCCTCGATGTTTGAGAATTCGAATATAAATAAATCTTAGACTTCTTGTCCACGTTGCTGTTCACCCAACCAATGGTGAAAACATGTTGTTTTTCTAACTCCGGTAAGTTGAAATTTATATCCAATACACGAACATCACCCGACCTGAAGCCTTTGCTGAAGCCTGTCATAATCTCCTTTCGTCTCTTTTCACTGTTTAGCTTCACATGTTTTAAAGGAAACATAATTTGTGACTCTGGTTCTTGTGATTGTATTATGTCATTATTAATTGTAATTTTCTCATAAATAACGTTCATTTGTGATACACTCTTTGCTAACTGTTCAGAATTCATTAATATATCCAATTTTTTATATTGGCCGTCAGGTATCTGTTGTAATTTTAACAAGAGCTGTAAAATATTATTTTCTTCTAGATTTTCTTCTATTTCTTTGTTATCAGTTTCTACTCGGAGAGAAATTAAATCTCTCTCTAATGTAGTTTTATGTTTTCTTTCTGTTAGTACAAGATGTGTATTTCTACTAAGAGATAAAGGTTGAAGATCATGAAGGTCTTGTCGCGTAGTGAAGGGAATAGTGCTGAGATGCAATACAGTGATCGGAGATGTTTGAGTTTGTAGGCTAATCTTTAACGCACCATTATTAAGGTTTTGTTGAGTCGAATCAAGATCGACTTCATATTTCAATGGTAACTGCAACATTCGATTGACATGAACACCAGCAATGTAATTATGATGGTCGAAAGGTGCTATAAAACCAAACTGCTTCTGATCCTTATTGGCAACATGCATATTCAAAATGCCAGTTTTTTTTGTATTTGAAAGTTCGTCATTTTTCATTTCAGCTTTAACTTTTACAACTATTGGCGAGTCCAAAGTATAAAGGAATGGGATGCCACTTTCAATTGGAAAGCTTAATATCGTTTCGTAATTATTGAAGAAAAGTAAATCCAATTGTTGGTCTTTCTTGAAGAAATCCTTCAACTCTGTAATGTAATAATAGTTTATGTCTTTAAAAATAATATAATTTTGTAGTAAAATTCGGGATACTTACGAGAGGAAATTTTTCGAAGAGCTTCACTATCAAAGGGATAGATCAGAAGATCGTGTACTGTGTTAATAAAGACATGTCCTTCCAATTTATCCAGATCTTCGGACTTGAACTGAAGTACTTGCAACAGCTTCTCAATACGTGATTTTTTCAACAATTCACGACTTGTTTCTTCGTTCTTCCAATTGTTCCAAAGTTGCTTGATATTTGATACCATGTACCCTGCTTCCAAGGTAGGTAATCCATAGAAATCGAAAGCAGTATTCATAGCAACACGCAAATATGAGGGAATTACACTATTGTCGCCAATGGTTTGCACACTAAGTCCCCTAATACCCCAGTGATTCAAGTCCGTGTAGTAGCCTTGCGAATTCCATTTATTATACTTTTTCGGATTCAATAGATGCCTGACACTGCGTGCCTTAATAGCGAGATCTTGCAATTCTGGTCGCTTCGTATTGGCGAGACTATTTATTGTACTTTTTATGGTAGAGATTACATTTTCATCCAAATCGTCATTAGTAAATTTCGCTATGCGTTGCAACATAATCAAAGGTGGGTTGAGCATAATATATCGATGTATGGCCATACAACGTATTTTATGATCTTCGTTTACGTTCGAATACAGCTTATAAAAAATTGGTCCAATTAATTTTGGTTCGAATCTGCTTAAGGTGGACAGTGAAGATACCATGAGTAAACGTTGGAACTTCGATACCAACTTCTTGCCTTCTATGTACGGCTCAAAGATCGAGAGAATTTTCGAATGGCCGGTCAAACCAAGTGCCACGGTATATATTTGGACTTTTGAAGTATCATTTTCGGACAAGCCTTGTTTCAATTGTTCAGCCATAAAAGGAATATAAACGTCGGTTATCTCGATGTGTGTGTCTACGTTACGCCTGAAAGTCACAGGACCTATACGCCTCAAACTGCGTATCAGATAATAAGTATTGACATGATTTTTACGTATTATTTCAGCAAATGCTAATGGTGCAGTCACATTTACGGGTGTCTGGTACAATACTGATGGATCGCTTATCATTTCCTGCACAAAAATCAGATAAAAGTTAAAATTAATTTTTAGTTTTATACAGAGAAATACATACATACGTACATATATTGTAAGTACATATATTGTACGTATATACTGTACACAATTGGAAATTTGTTTTTATGTTAATTTAATACAAGTTGAATATGTTAATAATTAAAACAAATATTATGTAAAACATCAAAACGTAATTCTAATACAATTTATAAATAATTATTCTTCTTATAATTAATATTTATAATATGTCAAATCAACGTAAAAATTTTCAAAAATTTAACATTTATAATATATTAAATTAATACATTTTATTCATTTATCTTAGAATTTAAATTTTAAAAAACATTATTTTTACATTTTTGTTCACTATTATTCATGAATTATTTTAACACTAAGAAATATTAAATATCAATTTACAAAATATTCAAATAACATAATCACATTATATTAAATTGACACTTAAATATATTAAAAATTCAATACAAAATTTTAATAAGAACTTAAGTGGACTATTTCTAACACAAATATAAAACGTTTATTACTGTGATTGCAAATAATAATTACTTATTTTAAATATATTTAAAAAATTGATACTAGCAAATCCATCATAAATTTATCATAAGCATTAAATTTGTTAAAAACATATTCTGAATCCTAATAGTTTAATCAATAAAAATTCAATCAATATTATTAAACAAATTCGATTTCCTTGTTATATAAAGTCGCTTTACCGATAAATTTTCTTCAAAACAATAAAAATTCTTGTGTTGAGTAGATTAAAATTAATTTTTCCTAAAATTTGTAATATAAGCATATTTTAAGATTCTTATTAAGAAAATATTTTTTGTTAAATATAAGCATTATTTAAAAAAAAAATAAATTGAATAATTATTTTTCTTAGCAATAGAATGATTTCTTTTTGTATATATGCATATCATTTTCAATTGTTGGTATAATAAGTGTTATGACGGACTGTCGAAGAATTAAAAATTAATATGTTATTATGTATAAATAGATACTTACATAGAATGTTCTGACATATTCTTTTGTTGGTTCGTGAACATGCTTGGAAATTTGAGATATAATTATTGCTGCCTCTGGGCCTTCAACTTTTCTATTTTTTAACCAATTGTGGATAGTCAACAAAGCGGGTTCTGTTCCGGTTTGCACAATAGCATCCCGTAAGACGCTCCAGACAATATTCTTGTAATCTTTATCGTGACTTTTGAGATTACGTAAATGTTCTTCTAATTCACCAATCTGCTTGAAGCTCATGATGGATATGAAATTTTTTAAGAACACATATTGTTCCATTATACTTAAACGCGTGTCATTAGAAGACTGTATTGTGACAGCTATTTCATGAATTAAGTCCTTGATTTGTTCCACATTTGTGACGGTAATGAAGGGTGATAGCGGGCTTTTCGGAGCTATTGCCATTCTTTTAGGTGAAATATTACTCTTATATAAAGTGTAATCCTCATCGCTGGAGCTACTAGAAGAGCTGTTCTGGTCGTCCCAACTTTTTTCAGAAGAACTGGTTCTCTCTGATGAATGTACTTGCTCGGAATTTATACTGATGCTTGGTATCATTGGGTTCTTAGAATCAGAAAATGGATTATTATACGTGTATATTAAGTTTCCAGTTGACTCGAGGTTACTTGATTCAAGTGAATCAAACAGTGAGCTGGATATTTTGTCCTTTTTCAATAAAGTCAATTTCAATATGCTGTGGACGTTGCCAAGGAAAGGATCAGTTTTTTTAGGCCTAACGGATATATGATTCTTCGTTACGACAGATTGAATAGTGAACCTTTTCAGATGGCCCGAGAGAAGCATTTGAGTCGTAGATAATTCCTGTAATAATCACATAATCGCAAATAAGTTCATTAAGAACTTTTATTTTCTTTTTTATTGATAATAGTTTTCTATTGATTCTATTAATACAATAGTTTGAATCATTTGCAATACAAAAATACTAATATTTTAAATAAAACAATTTTCCTAAACAATTCTTTTTCATAATTTTCAACAATTGTAATTATTGCATATTTTTTAATTATAAGCAATTATAAAATATAAAATAGTTTATCAATTAACTCACCGAAATGAATTTATCTTGTTTATAGAATTTTTCCTGTTTATAGAGTTGTTCGCGGAACAATGGATTTTCTAGACCGCGATGATAAATTTGTCGCTGAAGGCATTTCTCGTAATTTCTCATTTTTTTAATGTTGTAATAATACCCCTCACCGCGTAAGTCCGGAAAAGGTATCTTGTCTGGTATTTCTTGATGAGCATCTGGGTGCAATGGTACGATCTCGTACAGTACTTCGCACTTGCCACCGACGGAATCTTCTACGGCTGTAAATATAACAGGAGAATTTTCATCGACTGGAATTTGAGCGCTCCTAGTTTTTATCGCGTTTTCTCCCTGCGTGTCAATTTGCAGTTGGCTCATGAAACTCTTGAGGAGATTCAATTCCCAAGTAGGAATATTACGGTCGACTAATAAATCTCGTATCACTCCGTGCTTCATTGTGACCTCAAATGGCTTTCCTGACATAGGAATTTCCTGATACTCCAGCATATGATCAGGAAGTTCGGTATCCGGGCCATCCACTAATGTGGTGTGTACATGAGCATATTGTGGATTGGAAACCTTCACTTGCAATTTCTGTGGCGATTTTACATGAACGGTGAGTTTAGCCTTCATTTGAAGTCCAGTATATTGTTGTTTCAACTTGTCAAGACTTGTCACTGTCCGACTGTGTACAAGGTATTCATATTCGTTTTCCTTTTCCCAAGCATGCTCGTGGTCAAGTGTGCCTGTGGCCACGGCCACGCCGGCTGCCAAAGAGAATTTACCAAATTATAATAATTGAAATTTGTATTTTCTTGCCGAATTAAGATTCTTATTATGTTGTCTCAAAAAAGATTTACTTTAATACATAAATTAGTTAAACAATAAGTTTATCCAAAATATGGAAGTCAGATGCAGCAATGATTTTATATCAATTTAAAAATTAATTAATTCTGTCTACCAACTTGCAATATTTTTTTTCAAAAATTTCATGAAAGAGATATTTGAAATTTTTATGGATATTATTACCATTTACATAAAGTTATTGTCTTTCTTACCTAGTAGAAGGATGACAGGGAACCACATGATGTTATGTGGTTACCAGGTATCAAATGTGAAATGAAAGCTTCTTCTCTTTGATTTAATTTATATACAGGAGTATGCCAACTCAGCTTGACCTGCTGATAGCCACAAAAATTCAATATCCGTACTTGAAACTATACCGTTTATACGCGTGACAAATTTTTTTAACCTTTCACACGACAGATTACTTATAACATCCGCAGCATATTTAAGAAAGTAAAGATGGGTCGTGCCATCGGACTTCCGGACAGAACTTTGACTTCGTTTGAAGATATTATTAACTTTGTCAGTTGTTGAAAACACATTACTATCTATTAGTCAGTTGTTTTCTAGATACCATATTAAAATATGTTTATTAAAATATGTTTGACGTAATTAGGAATTAATAAAAAAAATAATAATGTTACTATTTGCGCAAAATTTTTTGGAACTTACGCAAAATATAATTACCTATTTACTATGGAACAGACTATATAAATATATATAAATATATATA